TATATATATATATATATATATATATATATATATATATATATATATTTTTTAAATTCCAGCAAAAATGGCCGAACGAAACTCCTGATAAAAAATTCTATAAAAATCAAATAAATCCTTTATACCCAAAAATTATCAGGAAATGCCCAAACACAACTCCTGTTAAAAGCGGAACTTAAAATTCCAATTATATCCCTCCGTCCGATACACGGCATCTCTATGAGAAAAGCTGTTGTGTACATACCTTTAGCCGTCCTACTTACGTGCCATCTGGTTGACTTTGTTGTAGTTCTTTCCCCTCTTTACCCCTGTGATCACCCCAAGCGCGGGATTGACCGCGTCTCACGTCATAGCGTTGAGTACTTTCGACTACGATAGTCGTTCATTTTTGTATTCAAAAATAAATAAAAATATAATCAAAGTTTTAGACATTAAATAAGTGAAATAAATCCTAATACACGAGAAAAAGAAGGTATTTTAGTGTATAGTGGGTGATAAACACATTATTGAGAAAGATATTAGCTTGACAAGGAAATAATATCTTTTGCGGGATGTCGAGTGACAAGGAGAACGATAAGACAAAGAACGATAAGAGAGAGCGAGACGGATCTACCGGCGACCAAGATGATTTTCCCTCTCTTAAGCGTATACAGTATATACGCGTGTACGACGAAATGCGCGAGCAAATGAGAGCATTACAGGGACAAATACAATACCTAGTGAATTTGTATTCTCAGAGGGACGAGGACACACAATCGACCGCGGAGGAACCTCCACTACGTGACATCCTAGATTTAGGTAAGCACGAGACTGAGGCTAACACCGAGAAGAAGTTAGTTCAGGCTGATCCGACAAAACTACAGACCTCATCAGGGCTTCAGAGGTTTGAGATGAATGATTGGAAAGACATTAGGTATGGCGATACTCTTAGAGAATTTTCAGCCTCACCGGGATTCACAGAGCTCAAGGTCAACGAAGAGCTCAGCTACCTGGACAAAGGTAAGGACTATCAACAGTCCACTGAGCGGTTGCTAGCAGGTCTAGCTAACGCAGTATTGACGCTGGGCATAATCGAGTGGGCTAACCAGTATCCCGATGGTATAGGTTCTCAAAATTTAATAAACATGTTTAACCTAAATTTTGGGAAAAAATCGGAGACCTTCCGTAACTCTGAAAGGATGTTACAGATATTTTGTGGAAAGAGGGCCTCTTATATTGAAGCGAGACGAGAGAGGATAATTAATGAGGCACCGAACAAACAGGTTCAAGGAGCACTGAAGAGAATTCCTCCTTGTCCTGAGTACCTTCTCGGTAAAGAAAAGCTTTTCTCCTAAATTACTTATTTAGGAGGCACGCAAACTTGGTTGAAAGAGCCGGCGCATAGCAGTGGTAAGCAGAGAGGCTCTAATTGTCTTAGCAGGATTCCAAGACGTGATAACTTCTACACACCGAGAGCTCCTCAGATATCAACTAGTACACTGGACCAGTCCAGGCCACAGTACAGAAAAATATTCACCAAGAAGGATTCAGCCAAGCCTAAGCAGTTGGATACATTTCGTAAGACAGACAGCAGGTGACTATATGGCAGCAAGACAATTCTCAGGGGGCCAGCTGGTCGAAATTGCGGAGGAATGGGAGAGTCAGGGTGCTCCACAGGTAATATTAAATATTATAGCAAATTTCCAAATCTTATTGGCAGAAAGACCAATTTTGTCAAACAGTTCGAGAGACTCTCGATACGAGACGCCATTCTCAGACCAAATGGCAGAGCAGATAGAACTTTTGCTACGACAGGGTGTCTTGGAAAAGGTCACACACCTGAGAACAAGCTTCGTTTCGAGAACGTTCTTGGTGAAGAATAGTCATGAAGGCTGGCGTCCTATCTTCGACCTTCGGAACCCGAACAGGTATGTAGAGGTGAAGGAATTTCAGCTAATTTCTATTTCAAAGATTTCAGATTTTCTATAACTAAGAGTCTGTTTAGTGCGAATAGACATGTCACAAACACACTTCCACATTCAAGTGGCCGGAGCACACCTCCGCTTCCTCCTACGCCTTTACTTCAGAGGAGAGCTCCTACAGATGATGTACATGCCATTTGGCCTCTCATCTGCCCCGTACGCATCCGCCTCGGTGCCCAACTGGGTAGTAGAGCTACTGTTTTCAAAAGGCATAAGAGTGGCAGTGTACCTGGACGATTTTCTGGTAGCCTGCCAGGACAGGAACAGATTGTTAGAACAGGTAAAAAAAATGATAATAGATTTTCTGGTTTCATTAGGTTGGCAGACCAACTGGGATAAAAACTTCTTAAAGCCTTGCCAGGAGTCGGATTTCCTGGTAATAGCATGGAACACGCAGACCGGTGTGATAAGTAGGGCACAGAAGTTGGCCTTTTTTCATTGGTTCAAATTTAAGGTTAAACATATAAACAGTCATTTGAACGGTGGCGAAATTCCGGGCCCTACTTATAAGGCTCCAATTGGATGGATTATCTGGTACCAAGAGAACAAGATTAACCCTGGTTCCCCCAGAGGAGTAGATTTAGCGAGACCTCTAACGAGTCGGCACATAAAGAACAACCTGGCACATAACACAATTTTAGCGCACAGATCGGCGATAGCTGGTTGGATTCGTTCACTGCTAAAAGAAGCTAATATAGATGCCTCCCCAGGCAGTATTCGAGCGACAGCAGCATCTAGAGGATGGCTGGATGATAGTCCAGTGCAAAAGATCTTGGACAGAGGAAATTGGAGATGTGCTGAGACGCCCAGACATCATTATTACTGACAGGTGACGGTATTTACAAAAAAACTCGGCCATTTTTTGGCAGATAATTTCAAAACTATGTAAAAGACAAAGAGATTCTTATCTAACTATATACTTAAATTATAAAACTTAAATAGAAAATTAAGGGAAAGTATAAATTATATTTTTGAGTTACATAATAATAAATAATAAATAATGACATACATTTTAATAAAAAAAAAAAAAATCCCAAGGGGTTTTTCATTACCGAAACCTAACTCAGATATAAGCATAATCATATTATTTTCAGTATCACATAGCGTTGAGGTTATCACCAGCAGATAACAAACAAATCTCTCATAGGGATGCCGTGTATCGGACGGAGGGATATAATGCTAATGTTTTGAACTACAACAAAACACGTATTATATTCCGGAGCCGATACACGGCATCCCGGTGGAGTACTTACTGGATGAGAGCTACTATGACGTAAGACGCGGTCAATCCCGCGCTTGGGGTGATCACAGGGGCAAAGAGGGGAAAGAACTACAACAAAGTCAACCAGATGGCACGTAAGTAGGACGGCTAAAGGTATGTACACAACAGCTTCTCTCATAGGGATGCCGTGTATCGGCTCCGGAATATAATACGTGTTTTGTTGTAGTTCAAAACACTAGCATTTTAAGAGGTCCATCAAGGAAGTTACATTTTGGCACACCCTAATATATATATATATATATTGAAACCGGCATCCACCGCTCTCTTGGTCACCTCTTAATTATATAAGGCGCCACTGGATTTTTCCCACAGTATCCAGAAACTGGCCCAGAACATGGAGTGAACTCAGGGTCGTAAGAGATTGTCAGGAAGAAAACAGAAATTGTAATAAGAAATTCATTTTTACAATTCATTTTATTTAACCAACCCTTAATACACAATAAAAACCCCTTACAAAATGTCAAATCAACTTAATCCCGACGATATCCTCTTATGGAGCGTCCTATCGCGGTTTCTAACTTACTACCGTTGTACCCCAAATCCGGCGTCTATACAACGGCTTCTAAGTGCGCCCAGGAAGCAGAGGAGGATACCATGAATCCCTAGGCTACACTGCAATAATATTTTCCACACACACCCACAATATTTATTCAAAATACTTATGCCTATTGCAGCCCCGACCCGGGCGTCTATGCAAAGGACTCTAAGTGTGCCCAGGACGCAGAGGAGGATACCATGAATCCCTAGGCAACACTACAATACTTAATATCAAACCCACCCACATTATTATTTCCAAACCCACTAAATATTACTCCGGATTTTACAAATTTAAATTTTCCAAATTTATTTTCAAATTAACAAAATTAATTTACCAAAATTAAATGAAATCCGACTTGATGCCTAGATCCACTTATTCCATTAATTAATTTACAAAACCCGAGTTCCTAATTTATTTATAAAGTTCTTAATCTAAATTCCCAGTTAAAATCATTAACTAATTTAATGTCGTGGTCTTAATAATACAACAATTAAATATTTGATATCAAGAGGTCTTCGTATCTTGTATTAATATGTTAAAATCTATTGACAGTGGTCTTAATAATCTGCCAACAACGTTTTGTTAAGTCCGAGATTTTACAAAATTATCTTACTGAATTTACTTAACTTATTTATGAGTTGTTGTGTTAAGTTATTTTACTTTGTCTAATTTATTTTACCAGAGTTTATCAGTTTATTTCTTTAGATTATTTTAATTCATTTTACTAAATTATTTTATCAAGCTGTTTATAACTTGAGTCCGAATTATTTACCCAGAGTTTCTTAAATTATTTATTTGATTTGTTATCCACTAAAGTTTTGACAATTGATTTTATGTTATTCATTTTTACTAAACTGTTTTATTTGGTCCTTCAATAATCGAGTTTTATTTTATCTACTTTATTTTATTTTACTGTCTATGGTGTTGCATAAAAAAAACTTAGTATTTATTTTATTTTATTTGAGGATTATATTCGGCCTAGCAACACAGTACGATTTTAGTCTCGACCTTGTGTGTCCTCTACTCGGCGCTTCGCGCGGGACAAGATGGCTGACGCTCTCGCTCGGTCTGGCGTCTTTGTCGCACATTTTCGGTATTTTTTTTTTTCGAACAAATTTTTACAAGTTTCGTTCTCTACTTTTAATTAATAAATTTACCTGAACAATTTTATTGTAATTTGACTGATTCTAATTTTATTGCAAATGATTTTATTTAAACAATTAAATTTATTTTAAGAATTATTTTCTCGAATTTGATAAATTTAACTTCAAATGATTTTACTCTAATTCCTCTTAAACATTTTACTGATTTTACATTAAGCAATTAATTAAATGAATTTAACCAAACTCGATTATCAACCACAATTTGTTTTACATGGCACCAAAGTCATAAATTGACCAACCGAAATTATTCCTGGTAAAGTGAATCCAAACTCTGCCTACGTAGTGAATTAACAATCCGAAATAATTCCTGGTTTTGTTAATTAAATGTTTAGTAATTACTCCTGACTTGTTCTTAACTTTATTCTCGATTTTATTATGGTTTTTATTCTGGACTTTTCTTAATTTCATTCTGAATTTTATTTTAAATAAATTCTTAGTAACATTCTACAGAATATTCTAATTTATATTTTAAACAATATCCCAAATAATATTCCGAGTAAATTCTAATAAATAAATTTCAATATAATAATTAAGTAAATTCTACGACGTAATACTTAATCTAGTGATTGTGACCGAACGCGAAATGGCGGTGACCTTCAACCGACTTGATTGCCTGGCTGATGCCGTACCACCGAGAGATTATTCAGACATAATATTTGTACCTGGAGTTTTTATAATTTTAATTGCACACTCCTCTGATGAACTGCGAGCTCCTCGTCTCGATGCTGGTACAAAGATCTCCTCGGTGAGCAACTTGAATTGGCGGCAATGATCTAGTCACCGTCACTCGTCCTCTGGATATTTTACAAAGCCTGTAACCGTAAATTCGCATTAGAAATTATCACAAATTAAATTCAATTTACGCAAGCTGGCAGAAGGCCTAGCAAGCAATAAATTCATTGAGTTGTATCGCTTCGTTTGACTTTGAGACGAGCGGAATACAAATAATTAGCTGTGCGATGGTGTTTATTACTTTTTGCGTGTCCGCTCGGCTCGACTGTTCGGTCACAATGAATCTTCCGAATTTTGTCGGTGCGTTTCTTTCTTCCTCTGCTCTCCCCACTTTCACTACGCCGACACCTCCACCTTGGGGACTCACTCACAAGTGTCAAACTATGACTACGAGGGCTTCAGATCACAGCGCTCTGTGATTTGTCAATAACAATGAGTGCGGATAAAAGGGCTTTTAACGGGTAACGATCACTCCGTTACAAT